TCTTACTCTCCAGTGCTGAATTTCTTTTGTTTGTGGATTTTTTTTTCATTTCTTTTGTTTTTGTAGATTTTGTTTTTACTGAGATATAGTATGTTTTTCTTCTTCATTTTGATGAGTAGGTTTGTTAACTTTCTTTGTGATTACCTTGAGATTTACCCTTATCTTCCTAGGTTTGAACCAGTCTATTATTACTTGGTATCACCTTGCCTTCCTCTCCATTAGAAAGTTCTGTGCCTACACAATTTATTCCCTTTTTTATTGTTCTGACTTTGTTGTCATTTACAGATTAACCTCTCTGGTTCCCAGTTGTAAATCTTTTGGTTTTGAATAGTTCTCGAGAGTTCATTTCCTAGGTTAGTATCTGGCAGCCAAACTCTTAAGTACTACACCACAGTTTCCTAGTGCATAGTAGGTGCTCATTAAATATTGGAGCATTTTAATGAAAAGAAAAAACAAAAATAAAGGAATGAATACTTGAATAAATGGGAAAGAATATGTTCTTGAGTGGGAAGACTCAGTGTAATAAAGGTGTCAGTTTCCCCCAGATGTATCAAATAAAGTGTAATTCTATTCAATTAGCCTTAAGTTTCTTTTGTTTTTGTTATTTGTTGGAGGAGGGCAGTGTCGAACTGACAAATTGTTTATAAGTTTGCCTTGAAGAATAAAAGAGAGAGAATAGCAAAGAAGATTTTAAAATAGAATAGTGAAGAGAGAATGTAGAGTTGCCTCATCAAATAGCAAAACACTGTATATACTATAATAATAACTAATAATGCAACAGTATAAAACTACCTAGAAAATTTTCAACATGGCAGTTCTCCTCAAATTGATGGGTAAAATTAGCACAATCTCTATCAAAATCTCAGCAGGCTTTTTTGTTGAAATCGATCAGCTGATCCTAAAATGTATACGGAAATGTAAAGGAACTATAGAATAGCCAAAACAATTTTGAAAAAAGGAGAACAAAATTGGAGGACTTAGAGTACCCAATTTCAAAACCTACTCTAAAGCTGTAGTTATCAGACAACTTGGAGTTGGCACGAGAGTAGGTATATAGATCAATGAAACAGAATTGAGAGTTCAGAAATCTTCCTATTTATGGTCAGTCGATTTTTGACAAAGGGGATGCCAAGACAATGTAATAGGGAGAGGATAGTCTTTTCAACAAATGATGAAAATGAAAAAAAAAAAGAACTTAGGCCCTTCCGTCACACTACATACAAAGATTATCTCCAAATAGATTCTAGACCTAAATGTAAGAACTAAACCTATAAATTTTTAGAAGAAAACATAGGAGAAAATTTTTGTAACCTTGGAAGGAAATTATGACTAATAATTTGTACCTAAACTGCACTAAAGTTTGGGTATAATGTGACAGAATATCATTTGGAAATATATGGTTCCCATGAACTCTTTTTGAAGAAACTTAGCTTAGAAGATGATCTTCAGACTAACAAGAGGTAAATGGAGAGACTAACTACACAGAGTAAAAGGGCCAGCGTGATCTTTGAATTAATTTACCTGAGGATGATGACTCATGCAAATGTGAGGATTATGGTTACGGGTTGGGTATAAATGGTATAAATCCTAACAAGGTAGCCTGCTAAACTATGAGAGAATAAATTTCTCTTTGTTAAAACCATCTGCTTGCGATATTTCTGTTATAGCAACACTAGATAACTAAGAAAAGGTCTTCCTCTTTTTCGATGACCCTCTACTTTACCAAGCATGATGTCCTCCTCCAAGGACTGGTCTCTCCTGATAACATGTCCAAAGTATGTGAGATGAAGTCTCACCATCCTCACTTCTAAGGAGCATTCTGGCCGTACTTCTTCCAAGACAGATTTATTCGTTCTTCTTACAGTCCATGATATAGTCGATATTCTTTGCCAACACCATACATTCAATATCCTCTGTGAAATGAACTAAAAATAAAAATATAATTATGCCTCATAAAAACATTCTCTCATTTTGGGGCCATCTGTGTCAATTGGCATAACAGAGCTTGTTAAGAAAATGTTCTGCATCCTACTTTGGTGAGTGGCGTCTGGGGTCTTAAAAGCTTGCAAGCGGCCATCTAAGATGCATCAATTGGTCCCAACCGCTTGGAGTAAAGGAGAACGAAGAACACCAGAGACACAGGGAAAGTGTTAGCCCAAGAGACAGAAGGGACCACATAAACCAGAGACTTCATCAGCCTGAGATCAGAAGAATTAGATGGTACCCGGCTACCACCAATGAACGTCCTGACAGGGAACACAGCAGAGGGTCCCTGATGGAGCAGTAGAACGATGGGATGCAGAACTCAAATTCTAGTAAGAAGACCACACTTCATGGTCTGACTGAGACTGGAGGCACCCCGGAAAGCACGGCCCCTGGTCTCCTATCACCCCAGAACTAAAACAATTTCCAAGGCCAACTCTTCAGACAGGGATTGGACTGGACAGTGGGACATAAAGTGATACTCATGAAGAATGTGCCTCTTAGTCAAGTAGATACACGAGACCAAAGGGGCGGCTTCTGTCCAGAGGTGAGATGGGAAGGCAGAGTTAGGAGCTGGTTGAATGTTCATAGTGAATCAGGGGCGGAGGGGAGGAGTGTGCTGTTGCAGAATGGGGTGAGCAGTTGGGGGTCTCATAACAATGCATGATAAAAAAAAACTCTGTATGGGAGACTAACTTGAAATGTAAACTTCATTTAATTACAACAGTTAAAAAAAATAAAAAGCAGAATGAAAAAACATTTTCTCAGTGTATTTTATTTACAGTATTTTCACTGTTCAAGCTAATGTAACTTATTCAGTGGAAGCACTGAACATACTAATGTCTTTTTCTTTTTCTTTTCAGCTAGAAGATGATATCATAGCTAAATACATGTACTTTACAAAAATAATGAATTTTGTACATAATATCTCTACAAATAATTGGTTTTTTATTGAGTTTTCAATTCTTGGATTCATAGGTAAGCAATGAATCGCTTCTCTTACATCAAGCTTTTTAGCACACAGTAGCCTTAAAAGATCTCAAGAACTTATCAAAGAGTTTGTTACTAACTGGAAAAAAATGACATGATTTCTGTAAAGATTCTATTATTTTAACCGTAAAATAGATTCAAATATCAGAATTTCAGATAATGTTTTTTTTTTTAACCAAAAAAAATTTTCTAGATAGTATATATAAATTAGCAGAATGGCATATATACAAATAAATTATAAAAACATAAAGTGATTATTAAATGCTCATTATGAGTTTGGCACACGTTAGCTCAGTGACTAGGAAGCAGTTTTCCCTATTTTATATGGAAGAATACTGACAGTCAGAGAACTAAAGTTGTAGAGAAAGGAATTTAACTTACAACTATTAACTCTTAAGTTCTTGCCATTGAGTCGATTTCAGTTCATGGCAACCCTGTGTGTGTCACAGTAGAACTGCTCCTAAGGTTTCTGGTGCCTCCAGGTGCGTTTGAACCACCAGCCTTTAGGTTAGTAGTCAAGCACTTAACCATTTGTGCCACCCACAAACTCCCTAAACTCCCTGGAAATTCCAGCATGTCAAAGCTGACATTCTTTTTTTTTTTTTTTGAATTGTACTTTAGAAGAACGTTTACAGATTAAATTAGTTTCTCATTAAACAATACACATATTGTTTTGTGACATTGACTGCCAATCCCATGACAGTCTCCCCTTCTAGACCTTGGGTTCTCCATTACCATCTTTCCTGTCCCCTCCTGCCTTCTCGTCCTTCCCCCTGGGCTGGTGTGCCCATTTAGTCTCATTCCAAGCTGACAGTCTTAAAAAATATAATATGGATTTACCTACCACAGAAATGTTCCTAAACCTGTGCCCATAATGTGGTTCTTTAAAGTAATTATTCCGTTGACTTTCCTTTTTCTTCCTTCTATTTTTCTTTCCTCCCTTCCATCTTTTTTTCCGTTTCTCTTCTTCTTTGGACCTCAAGGCAGTACATTGATTTACCATACTCCTCATTTCTTAGTGCTTTGCTCATGGAAGCAGCAGTCATGAAATCAAACAACGTATTGCATTGGGCATATCTGTAAAAGATCTCTTTAAAGTGTTAAAAAGCTGTTGCTTTGAGGACTAAGGTGTGCCTGACCAAAACCATGGTATTTTCAGTGACCTCATACACGTGCGAAAGCTGGACAATAAATAAGGAAGATTGGAGAAGAATTGATGCCTTTGAATTAGGATGTTGGTGAAGAATACTGAATATACCACGGACTGCCAGACAAATGAACAAATGTATCTTGAAAGAAGTACAGCCAGGATGCTCCTTAGAAGGAAGGATGGTGAGACTTTGTCTTACATACTTTGGACATGTTATCAGAAGCGACCAGTCCCTGGAGAAGGACATAATGCTTGGTAGAGCAGAGGGTCAGCAAAAAAGAGGAGGACCCTCAATGAAATGGGACTGACAAAGTGGCTGCAACAATGGGCCCAAACACAGCAACAATTGTGAGGATGGCGCAGGGCTGGGCAGTGTTTCCGTCTGTTGTACATGAGGTCGCTATGAGTCGGAACTGACTGCACAGCGTCTAACAACAACAGCATCATAGTTGGTTCATGCAAGAATCCTCTTTAGTTTTATTCTTTTCTTCCCAATCCCTACTCTCATTCCCACTCCACCCTCCATAAGTTTTTACTCTAACATATTTAAAATAAATCTTTAGATGTACGTATATCTTTGTAAAATATTTGGTGTTTTTCATTTTTGTGCATATTTTAAATTTACATAAATGGTAACATGATAAGCCTGTTCTTTTTTCTTTCTTTTTCCCCCTCAAAACTATATTTTAAAATTCAACAGGTTGCTTCATGTTGATTTAGTTCATATTTTTTCTTACTGCTGCATGTTATTTCATAGTACTGCATAATAATCCATTTTACTTATCCATTCCCTGAGTGGTGTATCCTAGATTTCTTCCAGCTTTGCGCCACCACAAACAGCAAAGTGACATATATATCCCTTGGGGTGGAGTCATTAAGGACAAATATCACTGGGTGTCTAAGTTCTGGCAGATGGATTTCCAGCTTGGCTGTAGAGTTTATGCTCTCATAAGCAGTGCATATGAATTCCTGTTGTCAAGCATTTGGTTTTAGATGTTTTGTTTGTTTGTTTTTGCCATTTTGAGGAGTGGAAAGCATTTCTCTGATTTCTAGTGAATCCATGTATTGTTCGTTTACTTGTTAACCATTCAGCCTTCTCTATCTGTGAAATGCCTACTTATATCCTTTGCCTGGTCTTCTGTTTTTGGGTTTTTCTTGTTGATTTGCAGAAGTTCTTTGTTTACCCTAGGTATTTATCTCTTGTCAATTTGGTAGTGTTAGACCTTGCACAAACCGTTTCTCGTGTGTCATTAATTAATGGAAGTCCTAAATTTTTATATAGTTCGATAACTTCTTTCATGGTTTTTACACTTTGAGTCTTTTAAAATCTTTCCCCAAATCTGGGTCACAAATATATTCTCTTGTAGCTTTTTCTGTATGAGGCTTAAGTGTGGATCTGGCTTCTTTTTTTTTTTTTTTTTCTCATAAAGTAAGTTTACCCAACACCATGTGGAATAATTTATCTTTTTCCTATTGCTTTGTGCTGCCACTTTGTCATATATCAAGTTCTCATTTATACCTAGGTCTGTTTCCCAGCTCCCTATTGTGCTTTCCCTTTGACTTTCACTAGTGAATCTAGAGATGTGCTTCTTCAGAAAAGTTCATAGGAGCCAAGTCAGAATAATGAATTCAGGGATAGGGTGTTTCTTCAGGAGGCTTCTTCTAATAATCAACTTAGCTTAGTTTTAAAATATTAGTAGTAAAAACTAATATGACCACTGTAAAAGAACAAGATTTTCTGTTGTGTTTGGGTATGAATCTGCTAGAGGAACCCTTTATTTTAAGCAGTCTGGGAGGAAAAGCCAAACTCAGAGTTAAGGAGCTTCAGAGTAACAAGGGACATTAAATGACTTGTTTCGTAGTGCATTAACTATCTCAAGGGTAAATGCTCCAGTTAGCCTAGGGGTTGGCAAACTTTTTCTGAAAAAGGCCAGATAGTTAGTATTTTAGGCTTTGAGGGGCATATGGTCTGTGTCACAACTACTGACATTGCCTTTGTAGCGCAAAGCAGACATAGGTAGTCTGTAAGTGAATGGATGTGGCTGTGTTTCAATAAAACTTTGCCTATAAAAACAGGCCAGCAGACTAGTTTTGGTCTGAGGGCTGTAGTTTACCAACCTTAGTTTTAACTCATCGTTTATTTACTGCTTAAGTGGTCACGTCCAATTTCCTATAGCAATCTCTAGACTAATGAACAAATACAGGTATTTATAAGCTTTTAGGTCATCACAACCCTCATGGTTAAAAGCAGCAAAAAAGACTTGCATAATAAACAACGTAGGTGGTTTCTTATAACTTTCAGTAAATATTGAATAACAGCACTGTTATTTGTGATAACAAAATACAAAGCCTTTACAAATTTAAATAAGTCTTTGGCCTCACATATATAGTGCTTCTTTTTCGATGTGCTCTTCTGGTTATCAGAATATAAATATTCCCTATTCTTCTCTTACTTGACATTGCTGAGAAAGATAATTGCTGACAGAGTATTTTACATTCTCAAAGTACATATACAACAAGATTCTTTCCCCTCAAAAATTCTCATCACGTATTGTTGTTAGGTGCCATTGAGTCAGTTCTGACCCATAGCGACCCCACGTACAACAGAATGAAACACTGCCCAGTCCTGCACCATCCTCACAATCGTTGCTGTGTTTGAGCCCATGGTTGTGCCACTGTGTCAATCCATCTCATTGAGGGTATTCCTCTTTTTTGCTAACCCTCTTCTTTATCAAGCATGATGTCTGTTAGGATTGAATTGTGTCCACCCAAAATCATGGCTAGGCCATGATTCCCAGTATTGTGTGATTGTCCACCATTTTGTCATCTGATGTGATTTTCCTGTGTGTTGTAAATCCTACCTCTATAATGTTAATGAGGCAGGACTCAGTTTATAATATTAGGCTGTATCTTGAGTCAATCTCTTTTAATATATAAAAGAGAAAAGCAAGCAGAGAGACAAGGAGACCTCCTACCACCAAGAAAGCAGAGCAGGGAGCCACGCACATCCTTTGGGCCCGGGGTCCCTGCACTGAGAAGCTCCTAGATCAGGGCAATATTGATGATAAGTACCTTCACCCAGAGCTGAGAGAGGAAGCCTTCCCCTGGAGCTGACACCCTGAATTTGGACTTTTAGCCTCCTAGATTGTGAGAGAATAAATTTATGCTAAAGCCATGCACTTGTGGTATTTCTGTTACAGCAGCACTAGATAACTATGACAATGTCCTCCTCCTGGGACTGGTCCTTCCTGATAACATGTCCAAAGTATGTGAAATGAAGTCTTGCCATCCTCACTTCTAAGGAGATTCTGGTTGTACTTCTTCCAAGACAGATTTGTTTTTTCTTCTGGCAGTCCATGGTATATTCAATATTCTTCACCAACAGCACAATTCAAATGTGTCAGTTCTTCGGTCTTCCTTATTAATGCATCATGTATTACTCTTACCTACAATTTTTCTTCTGACTTTAACCAAGGCTGAGCAAAAGTCTTCAGGACCTTATAATTATATTCCGCACCACAGAAAATACAGAAATTTGGGAAATAAAGGGGAAACGCCCACGATTGTATTCCAGAGTACAGTCACTTCTATAATTTAGTTGTCTAGCCCTCATGATTTAACGTTTAAACTCTCAGCTGCTAACCAAAAAGTTGGTGGTTTGAACACACCCAGTGGCTCCATCGGGGAAAGGCCTGGTGATCTGCTCGCATAAAGATTACAGCCAAGAAAACCCCTTGGGGCACTTCTGCTCTGCAACATGGGGTCACTATGAGTCAAAATCCACTCAGTGGCAGCTAACAACAGCAGATTTAATGTCTAGTCTTTTTGTTATGTATTTTATATGGTTATAGTAATATGTGATAAGTCTTACATGCCAAGCACTCTTTTGGCCTCTGGGGATATAGCAGTAAAACAGAGAGTGCTTTCCTCAGAAAGCTTATATTTTTGTGGGGGATTACTGTAGTATCAAACCGAATGAGATATGTTGAGGGTTTGGGTCACTGTGGTGGAAGTAGATGTGATAAGAAGCAGATGGGTTCAGGATGGATCTGAATTTAGAGCTAATAGGATTTACTAATTTAAAGTGGGGAGTGAAGAGAAGAAAAATTAAGGATAACGCCTAGGTCGTGTATATAATTTTATGTTCAAGACTTAGCTCTGGCTCCAGAACATCTTTCCTAAATATTTCTCAAGCTTTCATGCATTATGTACTATTTCTATGTACTCCAACAATACCTTGAGCTTATTTCTGTCATAGCATTCATCACATTAGATTGTAACTGGACATTTTTGGTGTCTTATATACTAGGTTGTGAGCTCTTTCAGGACAAGGATTTTGTCTTTCATCATCTCAGGGTTTTGCAGAATGGCTGGAATATGCTAAGTGCTCATTTGTTAAATGACTGACTGACTGAATACTACTCGTTTCACACGTTGTGTGAATTTCCCCATATTTCTATAAAGATTTAATGGCTGTTATTTTAATGGTTACATCATATTCCACAGAGCATCTGTTCCATAATTACATTCTGTTATTGTTAGAGATTAAAGTTCAAGTTTCTTCCATATTTTAGATGATGTCTTTAGGATATATTCTGAGAAGAAATATTGCTTCCAAATTGTTTTCAGGTATTGTACCAGTTTACATTGCCCACAGCAATGAATTAAGGGAACTATTTTCCACCACATTAGGACTAGCATTAGCTGTTACAGTATTTAAGTGTTGCTGATAAGTAGGCATAAAATGGTACTATTGTTTAAATATATTTTTAATTGAATATTAGTAAAGTTAAACATCTTGCCATAGGTTTACTGATTATAAGTCCTCTGCCTTATAAAAATGAATATATTAATTTTTTAATCTGCTTTATTTGGAAGATGTTTACCCTGGTCTTTTGCTTTCTTTTTAAATTTTGATTATAGAATACCATATATTTGTACCACATACATTTTAGAGTTTTATATACAAATCTGTTGGTCAGTTTCTTGGTGATATTTCTATCACATATAAAATTAGAATATCACTGAAGAAGTGTGAGAAATACTCAGTTACATTGCTCTTTGTTTTTATCTGGTTTTAATTTATCCTTCTTAGCTGTTGAAGCTATCTGGGGGATATTTGTGTCTAAGCCTAGAATTTATATTACTGAAATAAAGTAGGGAAAGAAGAAATTGAGCAAGTATAGCATACTGGTTAGGAGTGTTTGTTCTCTCCCTTTGTTTGATTCTAATCTCTGCCACTTTATTAGCTAATTGATTCTTAGTGTCTCAACTTCAAAATGAGGATAGTAATTTGCTGCTATTGTACAGCTCCTCACTTTATTTTTCATTTTTTATCATCACCGCAACTGAAGGGAAGAGAGGAAGAAGGATCAAAATTCTATTGGCAATAGCTACTAATGGATAAGCAAAAAGAGATGGGATAGTAGAGCCATAGTGACAGACTTTTTTTTACTATTACTCTATACCATATAATGAATCCTTCTTATTCCAGTTATCTATTGCTGTTTAACAAATCACCCCAAAAATTAGCAGCTCTAAACCACAATTTACCATTTTATTTCATGAGGCTGTGAATTTACGGGGCTCAGCTGGGCAGTTCCCACTGAGGGCCTGTGAAATTGGAGTGGTACCAACAGTAGTATCAGAACCTGTCTAACTTCGGGGGGAATAATGAGAATTGCCATCAGGGCAAAGCTGATTCCCATGAGGTGGAAGTCAGACATACCTCCAGTCTCCAACCTTTTTACCAATTCTGACACCAGCCATTCCTCCCATGGCACTCTCTACTTCTCTTCTGGGTTCTATAATCCATTGCAATGACCACACAGAACTCACAGACCATACTTACAGTTAAGTGGTTTATTAAGGAATAGGATACAACTTGGGATCAAGATAACAGGCTACAACTCAGGATCAGGAAGCATGTAGGCAAAGCCTTCAGTGCAGGACAGCTCTCTCGGCTCCTATCAGCAGGGCAGGCCTCCTCTCAGCCCCCTGAGGACAGGCCTCTTCTTGGCCCCCTGAGGACAAGCTCCTCTTGGCCCTGCTCTCTGTCCCTGCCAGCTCTGCTGCTGGGCCCCTTCCGTTCTTGTGGCTGCCAGCTGTGCCTCCAGGCCCCTTCTGGATCTGTCACTGTCTTCAGTGTTACAGCCCTTGACCTGTGTTATAGCTCTTTTAGGAGGTTCCTTGCCTCTTCTCTGTCTCTGCTGCTTCTTTCTGCTTTCTTCCTGCTTCTTTCTCTCTCTCTCTCAAAAACCTCTGTGGGGCTGACTGCTTAAATACACAAACTCTTTGTCAATTTCAAGGCATGGCACTCCCACCAGGGCCACAAAATGACCAATCCCCTCTCAGTAGACCACAGACACTTAATTTGCATAGTAGGAGCAGCTGAGCTACAACTCACCTCATTTCCATAGTCTATTGACCAATCCCTGCGAGGTGCATACCAATCACAAGGCAGGCTGTGGCTCAATGCCAGACAAAAAGTATCAAAACCAAGTTGTTTACCGCTTACCCAGGAAATATCAATCAACCTGGACAAAAGTAACAAAGCCTCTAGGGTAGAAAACTAGGCAAAGGTAACTCTTTAGGGTTTAGGAGAAAAATCTCCCAAGCTATTTTTCATAAAAAAAAACAAGGCAAAAGGCCACATAAAGGAACTCATTTCACCACAAGGCCTCTCAGGTAATTTATATTCAGATAGCAGCTGGAGCTGGAGTTATTTGAAGGCTTCATGGGGCTGGATGTCCTATAGGGCTCACTGACATGCTACAGTTGATGCTGGTTGTCAGGACCTCAGCTGTGGCTGTCACTCAGGTGCTTACACATGACCCTTCTACATTGCTTGGGTTTCCTCACACACCATGGCAGCTCAGGGCTCTAACAGCATATGTTCCAAGAGAGGCAGAAGCTATAATGCTTTTGTGATCTAGCCTCTGTGTCAGAATGATGCTTCTGCCACAGTCTGTTGGTCAAGTAAGTTATTAGGGGTATCCACAAATGCTAGGCAGATAATTGAATTCCACCTCACAGTGGGAGGAGTGGCAAAGACTTTGTGGCCATGCTTAATCTACCACACTTCCTTTACCGCTACTTCAATCCCCATTTAATGCTACCCAAACATCTAGTTCTTTCTGGACCCAGCAAGATGGAGAAAAGGCCGAAGAATGGATATGTCCCTCTCTGTTAAGAAGACTTTCTAAAAGTTCTACATAATAATTCCACTTACATTTCACTGGCCAAAACTTAGTCACATGAGCTGCAATGGAGGCTGAGAAATGTAGCCTTAGCAGAGTAGCAATGTGTTCAGCTAAATATTGGGCTTCTATTTATTAAAGAGGAGACTTGGTGATTAAGAACTTGGCTGCTAACCCAACAGGTTGGCAGTTGGAATCTACCAGTTGTTCCTTAGAAACCCTGTGGGGCAGTTCTTCTCTGTCCTGTAGGGTCACTATAAGTAAATTTCGAGACAAGTAGCACTTTCTAACACGTTTCTCCAAAATTTCATTAGTGCAATTTTATTACAGTTCCTTTGAAATTATAGCCTCATTGAGTAGTTTGATGCCTCCAACTTTATTCTTCTTATATTGAGGCTTGTGTTGTTATGTAAAGCATAAAACTCAAGAGATTTTTGGATTTATTTATTTTTTCTTCATAGGAAAGCTGTTCAGATCTGAGGACTTACCTGACTTTGTACGTTTTTTTTTAATGTTCTACAAAGTTAAACCCATAGACTTGCTCTTGGATGACATTTTTCAGTTAAAGATGTGTAAACCACAGGAGATTTTTGTGAGTATTTCTTTACTTTCTGAATACCAAATATACTAGGCAAATACTGTCTATATAATGTAATTACCTAAAGTTTGTTTACCAAAGCAAAGTTGATGGGTGCATAAAAATTTTAATTTCCCATATCTTAAATTTTTACTGACACTTCTACCTATTAAATGAAGTAATAAGAGGCCAAAAATATACTGAAATACTATGAGCTATTTAGTCTGTAATAAACTTACTCTGTTTTAGTCAAATCTCTTCCTTCTTTCAAGTAAGAAATAAGCCCTTAAAAATGGGAAAATATATCACCAATGACCACTCTGACAGGGAACGTAACAGAGAGTCCCTGATGGAGCAGCAGAAAGATGGGGTACAAAAGTCAAATTCTAGTAAGAAGACCAGACTTAATGGTCTGGCTGAGACTGGAGGTACCCGGAAAGCATGGCCCCTGGATTCTCTATCAGCCTAGAACTAAAAAATTTCTGAGGCCAACTCTTCAGACAGGGATTGGACTGGACTGTGGGACGTAAAGTGATACTCGTGAGGAGTGTGCCTCTTAGCTCAAGCAGATACAAGAGACCAAAGGGTCAGCTTCTGTCCGGAGGTGAGATGGGAAGGCAGAGAGGGTTAGGAGCTGGTTGAATGGACATGGGGAATCGGGTGGAAAGGAGGAGTGTGCTGTCGCAGAATGGGGTGAGCAATTAGGGTCACATAACAATGTATGTAAAAAATTTTGTATGGGAGACTAACTTGAACTGTAAACTTCATTTAAACTACAACAATTAAAAAGTAAAAAAAAGGGAAAATAAATGAGTAGTTAGGGGAAAATGAGAGTGAAAACATGAATAAAATTCACCTTTCCTGGGAGAGTCATCCACTCCTATAGTTTCACCAGCCATAGTATATGCTAAAGATTTCCAAATGTATGTCTCCTATGAGATCTGTCTCCTGAGTTCTGCACCCTTACACCACTCACAAATACACGTGACTATTTAATGGAATTTCCACTTGGTAGGCAAAGGAATAAACATATAGACCCCATGGAACAGAATAGACAGTCTAGAAGTAGGCCCACAAAATATGGCTAACTGATACTTGACACAGCTTCATAAGCTTTGTCTTCGTAAGCTTCATAATTTGATAGAGAAAGAGTAGTTTTCCAACAGATGGTGTTGAATCAATTGGATATCTGTATGCAGAAAAAATTATCAACCTAAACCTCACACTTTATACAAAAATTAATTCAAAATAGATCATGTATCTAAATGTAAAACACAAAACTACAACTTTTAGAAGAAAACGTGAAAAAGTCTTCAGGATTTAGGACTGGGTAAAGTGTTCTTAGATATGACACCAAAAACACCATACATTTAAAAAAAAAAAGATCAATTGGACTCAAAATTAAAAACCATAGGGTTTTCAAGTAGTGTCTGGTGGATTCAAACTGCCGACCTTTTTGTTAGCAGCCAAATTCTTGACCACTACAACAAGTACTGATATAGAACTATAGAAAAAGCTAACATAATGAAAAAATTCTACCATCAGTAAATGCAATAGTAAAGAACATCTGGATTTTTACAGAAGATTGATGTGTCTCTTATTTTTTCCCAGAAAGAATGTTTAAAAAGAAGTAAGCAAGTTCGTATTCAATATAAACCTTCTCTTTTCCAACATGTGGGTATACATTCATCATTCCCTGGAAGAGAACAATATTACAAAGTAAGACTTTGAAATGTGACTTTAGTAATATATAATATTTCATGAAATTATAAAAATATTATTTAGTAAAGAAGAGATGAGAACACGAGAGAGACTATAAAATAGTTATTTAAGAACAATTCGTCTTACGAAAGAAATAACATGCTATGAAAATCATTTATAAATTGAGCAATCATCTTTTAAAGACCCAAGTTATCATGGTTAGAAAAATCCAGCCTAAGTAAACTTCTTTGTCTTACAGTTCCCAACAGTGCATTCAAGTACTGAGACTAAACAAGTGTTTTGAAGATCATAATAAAATTCATTATTTTAGTCTAAACTTCAAAATTACACAAGATTATTATTTCAAAAATAAAATACTCCTGTTATCTAAACGTATCAACATTTTGACTTCACTTCTCTGTTTCCCAGATGAAGAAATATTTGACATTGTTTGGTTATTAGTTATCCTTAATTGTTGCATTATTTTTGGAAGCAATGTTATTTATAATTGATTTAGCATCTTAGTGGCATAGACGAAGCGAAGGATTCAGAGCTAAAACACTGAGTTTTTACTTACGCTGACCAAGGAATATGTACAACATATTGAGCCAAGGTCTAGTACTCCTCTGAGCCTTCTTCATCTGCAAAACCAGAAGTTTAAATTAAATGATCCTTAAGGTTTCTTCCACTTGTGAAATACTCTCTTAGCGATCTAGTGCAGCCATAACAGAAATACCACAAGTGGGTGGCTTTAACAAAAAGAAATTTATTCTCTCATAGTTTAGGAGGCTTGAAGTCCAAATTCAGGGTGCCAGCTCTGGGGGAAGGCTTTCTCTCTCTGTCGGCTCTGGAGGAAGGTCCTTGTCTCTTCAGCTTCTGCTTCCTGGTTCCTTGGAGATCTCCATGTGTCTTGGCATCTATCTTACCCTATCTCTCCTCTGCTGCTAGTTTAATCTGTTTTATATCTCAAAAGAGATTGACTCAGGATACATCCTTCACTAATCCTGCCTCACTTACATAACAAAGACAACCCATTCCCAAATGGGCTTATAACCTAGAGGTTAGGATTTATAATACATGTTTTTGGGGACATAATTCAATCCATAACAAATGGTGTTGGCATGTCTACTCTTAGTTTCTTCATACAAAGGATCGCCGCAGTCCTTTGCCAGTTGCAACGAGAGAAATGCACAGATTCATCCTCTTGTCAATTCATCATGATCTACCCTCTTTCCATCTTTTCTATTCCATCCCTGTGTCCCCACGGATGCTTTGAAACAATGCCTAGTATGGACAGTGCATAGTATGGACTCAGTAAATGTTAGCTGTCAGCTTTCAAGCAAGGTTGAATTCAAGATCAGAAGCGTTTAACTCTCATGAACATTTATGCAAAAAAGAACACCATCAAAACAGATAAAACATAGCTGTTGGGAATGCAGAAAGAAATTTATCTATACCAGCCTTATTTCTTAGTGCTATTATAAATGAGATTCTTTCCTTTCATTGTACTTTTTTCTTGCCTAATGAGATATTTTAACCTCGCCTTTGTAAACTCATGATAGATTTAAAAAAACTCGTTGCTGTTGAGTTGATTCCGACTCATAATGACCCAGTAGGACAGAGTAGACCTGCCCCACAGGGTTTCCAAGGAGCAGCTGATGGATTCAGACTGCCGACATTTTGGTTAGCAGCCAAGCTCTTTAACCACTGCACCACAGATTAAGTAGACAGAAGTTTTATATATTGATATTTGAATTACACCCACACAAACACATACATACACCCCTATATATTCAGATAATAAAACGTACAAATTCACTTGAACTCATGAAGTAGCACGACTACTATGTGGTACAACTCAACAGAGGCACCACTGTCATTGTTAACTCATTTAACAAATATTTATTGAGCACTTACTGTATTTTAGGCACTGGGGATACAGTAGTGAACACAGCAAATAAAAACGAATGCCCTAATGGATCTTATGTTCAAATTCTAATTTAATAACGGCTTCCTACCTTCTGAGTATTTGGTCTCTAGCCAGTTTTAGCCTATATGACATATGTGTCATCTCTGACGTATTTAAGTATAAGTTATTTCCAACTTGGTTTCCTAGATAATGTCCTATAATTTTGGAATTTTTCTAATATATACATGTCATTTATATTTTGATATTATTATATTGGTTTTTCTCCTTTTTATACCTCATACCACGTAAAATCTAGAAATCAATAACAATTTAATAATGTCAAATGTCATCATATTTTAATTACTTTTAAAATTTCTAACAGGATATCTATTATTAGGAGTCTCATCATTGTAACAGCTTCTTTAAAAGTTATCAGAATCATTATCTGGAAAAAAAGGCATAACAAGGATTAAACTATTTCTTGACTTTCTTCATAGCGGATAAGAGATCTCATCATATTAAAAAAATAAAACCTTCAATAATAAAGTGGTAAGTATAAAAACTTATATAAGTATATATGTAATTATCAGAAATTTGCTAATCTTATGTCATCTTAAATCCTTATGTTTCTGTGTATTCTTTTGGTTTTATACATATAACCTTCTGGTACATTCTCTAACCTTTTGTTTTATAAGAACCTGCCAGACCTACCCCAACCAGTATTTCCTTTCCCCCTTTTATCATATTTACTGTAGAAATAATATGAATTTGGAGGCAGATTCTGAGTTTGAAGCCTCGTTCTTGTCAACAGATGCAACAATATGGATGAATCTCTAGAATATTACACTAGGTGAAAGAAGCCAGATGCAAAAGACTATATACTGTATGATTTTATTTATATGAAATTCTAGAAAAGACAAAACTATAGCGATAGGAAGCAGGTCAGTGGTTGACATCTCATTATGGTTTTAATTCACATTTACCTTAAGACTTGATGTTGCGGGTTTTTTTTCATGTTTGATGTATATATATTTTTTAAGTGTCTGTTCAAATATGTACTCATTTTAAAAATTCCCTAGTTTTTTTTTTTTTTTTTTCTTTTTCCTGGACACAGTCCCAGCCTGTGGATTGCATTTTCGTGTTCTTAATAGTGTCTTTGGATGGGCAAAATTTTAATTTTTATCGAGTACAGTTTATCAGTTTTGTTTTTTTTTAATGGTTTGTGTGTTTTGTGTCCTAATAAAGAAATCTTGGTATAACCCAAGGTCACAAAATCTTCTCCTGTATTTTATTCTAGAAATGTTATGGGTTTAGCTCTTACTTTTTTTTTTTTTTAAACAACACAACAGCTCTGTTTGGCATTTCACAGTGGATAGGGCCAAAAAGTCAGTTGATGGAGAGTTAATTCCGACTCATGGCAACCCCTTATGTGTTGGGGTAGAACTGTGCTCTACAGGTTTTCCCTTCTTTCTTTTTTTTTTTCTAATAGTGCATTAGGTAAAAGTTTACCGAGCAATTAGATTCCCATTCGGTAGTTTGTACATAAAATGTTTCATGGCCTTGGTTTCATACCCCACAATGTGTCAGCACTCTCCCCATTTCCACCCTAGTTTCCGCGTTTCCTTTCGTCCTGGTTTTCTACCTCTTCCTGCCTTCTTATCTTTGCTTTTGGGCAAATATTGCCCTTTTGATCTCGTATAATTAATTGTTCTAAGGAGTATGTTTCTCTCAAGATAATTTTTTATTTTATGGGCTTGTCTGTTGTTTGGTTGGAAGGTGGTCTCCTGGAAGGGCTTTAGTTCCAGACTGGAAGTGTCTTAGGGTCATAGTCTTGGGAGGTAGCGCTTACATTTAATTTTATTTCCCATCTTTAATTATCGTTTTCTATGTTGTGAAGAAAGAATCGGGACTCTTTTTTCTCCCCACCATGAGAATAGTCAGTTATTCTAGGACCGTTTATTGAAAAGACTATCCTTTCCCCATCAAATTACCTTGGCACCTTCATTGAAAATCACTTGACTATATAGTTGTGTGTCTATTTCTGGAATGTCAATTCTGTTTGATTAATCTATATATCTATCCTCATGCCAATATCATACTGTGTTGATTATGCTAGCTTTATAGTCTTATAATCAGATCGTCCTTGTCCATTTCTTTAAACATGGCTGCTAGATTCATTTGAAATTGAATTAAATCTAGAGGTCAATTTGGGCCTTGCCATCTTAACAACACTGAGTCTTCTAATCCATAAACATCTTACATCTTGCTATTTATTTAGGTTTTCTTTCATTTCTTTTAGCAATACTTTGATTTTACTGTTTAGTTCTTGAACATTTTTTATTACTAAGTATATTTGATGCTATTGTAAATTAAATTTTTTAAATTTTATGTTCATCTTTTTCATTTCTAATATATATGAATAAAAGAGATGGTCGTATATTGATTTTGTATCTTGATGTCTTTCTAAATTCACCAATTAGTTCTGGTAGCTTTTTTGTTGATTCTTACATTATCATGTCACTAGTGAATAATGACAGTTTTACTTCTTTTTGTTTGGTTGGTTGAGTTTTTTGTTTTGTCTACTTTTGTTTGTGCCTTATTACACTGACCATGAAGTACAAGGTTGACGGAAGTGGTGAGAATGGACATACTTGTTCCTGACCTTTGGTAGAACGCATTAAGTCTTATACTATTAATTATAATGATAAACCCACTGCCATCGAGTAGACTCTGACTCCTAACAACCCAATAGGACATAGAACTGCCCCATAGGGTTTCCAAGGCTGAAATCTTTACAGAAGTAGACTGCCACATCTTTCTCCTGAAGAACGGCTGGTGAGTTAGAATCACTGACCTTTCAGTTATCAGCTAAGAGCTTAACCACTGTACCACCAGGGCTCCTCAATTATGTAGATATCGTTTATCGGTTTGAAGAAGTTCCCTTTTTTTCTTGGTTTGATGAGAGTTTTTAACATGAATGGGTAATGAATATTGTTGAATGCTTTTTTTTCTCCCCATCTGTGGAGATGATCATTTAGTTTTTCTTCCTTATTCTATTAATATAAAGTGTAACATTGATTGACTTTCAGATCTTAAACCAGCCTTACATTTCTAGGATAAACCTCACTTGGTTATGCTGCATTTTCCTGTTCATATATTGCTGGATTTGATTGGCTAATATGTTAAAGATTTTGTGTTGAGGTTCCTGGAGGATATCAAATTTTGATATGTTGTGTTTTCATTATCATTCAATTTATGATACTTTAAAAATTTGTAATTTCTTTTTTGAAAATGATTTTATTTTAGAAATAAGTTGTTTAATTTCTACATATTTAGGGATTTCCCAAGTATTTTTTCTGTTATTGTTTTTTTTCCTTGTACCACCTTTGTTAGCCTTTGGTATCAGGC